GTTCGCCTCAGGGCGGACCCGGCGGTCGCGCCCTTCCCGCGAGCAAGTTTTGGGGCCCGAGGGCGCTCCGGGCCGGTGTTGGGCTTTCTTTTCTCTTTCACGTTTCTCCGAAACCACGGCGACACCGAATTCATCGCCAGGGAGATAAATATATGTCTTTCAGTGAATCCCAAATTCGAAATGGGTAGAGTTGGGGGGCTGATCGGCTCCCCGTGGAGAGCTCAGCATGGCGTTTCCCTCCGGGGAGTAGAGCGGGGACCCTAGAGGAGCAGAGGCTACGTTTCAGGCCCAAATGCAAGTAGACGGCTCACAGATCCGTCGTGTTACCTGTGACTCTTTGTTGGGTTTTGTTTCAGAAAACAAAAGTCCAACCTGAGCATTCCTCACGGAAAGGATACTGTCTCCGTGAATGAGCTGAAAGCATTCACAACTCCCCAGCAGGAGCCTTTTAAGCAAGCTCTTTTCAGTACCATTGCGGACAAATTTTACCTTGGAGAGACCTGCCCGTGTGACTCGCCTTCTCTCTGTCATCCGAGCAAAGACAACGGATAGCAACGGGGAGCGCTGACTTGTCCCCCAGGACAGTTTTTGCTGCCTGCGAACCCTCCCTGCGGGCGCTGCCCCGCTTGTCCGGGGGCTGCGGGCGCCCCAGCGTCCGCCCTGACGGTGCGCTGGAGGCCCTGGCTTCCGTGGCCGTAAGAGGGGAGAATGCAGCCACGCCGCACGCATCCTCTCCTTTGGGGCTCTAATTGCCGCTGAGAAAACATGCCCTGAAGAGGGCTGTGTGCCATTCTGCTGAGGTTCGAAACCACTTAAAGGGTGTTTCTTAAAAAATACAGGCATCTGCCACGTCCTTGCCGCCTGCGACGGCAGTAAGCTCTCAGCACAGCCAGGCTTTCTGGGGGTATTGACACATCTGGGAAACACCTGGCAAGCGGAGGTGAACATTCGGGATAGAAAGAAGGAATAAGGGGGGGGGGGACTAAACACGGAGATGTAGGTGTTTCAAAACTGGGACCAAGCGAATGGGCTATAATCTAGAGCAGAAGCTGTAGCCCCGTAGAGACCTGGTTCTGGGCGGTTCCGACCACAACGCTTTGTTCTTTTGACAAGAGCTGGGTAGGAATCCAGAGAACTATGATGGCTCCCGTACAGACAGGGTTCTAGAAAGACCAGGTAAGATCAAGTCCCTACTACAGGTAGAGAGGGGGTGTATGTTTGCAGAAGGCGCAAGGACCTTCCGCGACCCTTCTTTCCCAGCTCCAGCCTGGACGGACCTTAGGGGTGAAATGGGACTGCCTGCCAGGGGGTGCAGGGACACTTCAGGGGTAAGGAGTGGTTTTCTATACTCCGTCTGTGTTCTAGAAAGGATTTCGGTTAAGCCTGCGTTTGCTTTAAACCCTCTCTCTACTTCAAAGGACGTGCAGGTGTGTTCGTGCTTTCTCTGCAGTCTGAAACCCTTGCCACGGCAGGAACCCTGAGGATCAGGCGGTGCCCCCTCCCCCGTACGGGGGGCCTTTCACCTGGAAGAAAGGCAGTGTTTTGCCTTGAGAAGCAAGATGAGCAACATGAGTCTGGAAGTCCTGGCACCGGAGGCGATGTCCTGGGGGCCCAGGCGGTCTGCACCGCCGTCCCAACGAAGCCCCGTTGTTGATGAACCGAGGGAAAGTCCCTTAGTAAACAAACGGACGCACCGCCCTGGGGTGCCGGCCCCTCGCTAAGTCCTCCGCACACAGCGGCCGGGGCCGCGTTTACCCAGCGAGTGCATTAGCATGGCGGCCGAACACCTGTTTTTCTAATCTTTGAACCTAGGCGGCAGCGGGCACCAGGCTCCCCCACTCCCCGCCCCGCACCCCCGCGGCGACCCCGCCCTCTGCCCCGCACGCGCCCCCAGCCAGCCTGGGGCGTGAACCGGAACCTCAGGTGCCTCCCACGTGTGCTGAGAATTTATGTCGGCCTCTAGCAGGGCATTTTAAATAGGTTTCTTGAGACTAAAAGGCGAATCCCACCCACCTCTTTGTCAATATAAGGGAGAGAGCCCCGGGAAAGAAAAAGAGGGGTACGCGCAACCCACCCAGCCAAACAGGGGTCCTGGGGGTCCAGGCCGCCCCTTCCCTGCGCGGCGCCTCCGCGCGCAGCCCTCTGGCCCTCGGGGTGCCATCTACGCAGCCCCGGAACGCAGTCCTCACGTGGGGAGATGCAGGCACCGATTATAAACATCTGGTCCTCCACCGTCCCCCACCCCGAGGCGCACACACCAGGAGGGCAAAGAGCCCAGAGCGACCGCAACGTGGTGCCCCTGGGAGTCGTTTCCACCTTAGGGGCGACTTCGGATGGAGCCAGCCTCTGCCGGCCTGGACGCCGCCACCACGTGCAGGCGCCTAAGGCTCTAGTCCCGGGAGCCATGTGTGTCCGACCCGGGGACCCCTGGAACCAACTTGTCTGTGTGCGCCCGGAACGAAGAAGAGGGAGCCTCCTAGGGCCGCTTGAACCTCTCCCAACATCGGCAAAGCCCAGACTGGAAACGCTGAACCCCTGGGTAATAAAAGGCCAAGCAAACGCCCACCGGAATCCCGGGGCGGCCTCAGCGTGCGGCTGACCAGGGCACGGTGTGGTGCCAACCCCTCCCTGGGCAGGGACTTCATCCTGCCTTCTGGTAACTCCTCTCTGAGCTCTGCCGCTTCAGCACCTTATCAAACCTAAAGTGATTTCTGTGTCCCCCCTCACCCTCCACACCAGTAACATTTTTTAAAAAGACTGCTAGGGGTGCACACATGTACTTCTACACACTTGCATATCACATATACACAATTGTACAAAGCACACAGGCACAGATTTTACTCAGTGGCCAAGGTCAGAATGAAGGATATATTTACAATCAAGATGCAAAAAGATATTCACTTAAACATCTCAGTATGCTACATCCAGATGTTCACTCTCTACCACTGGAAAGGAGAATTTTTCTAGGGAAATATTAGTGTCCAGGGAAAGACTAACGTTGTTGTCTTCCGTGTATGGATGTGAATCCTGCTCTAGCCCCATTTTATTACTACATGTAGACTTTGTGGTGGCTGTCCAGGCAGAAACAAGAGCCCCTTAAATGTTTAACCCAGTGGGGAAGGTCTGCAAGTAAACAAAGGATAGGATGAACCTCCAAAAAGTCAGGCCATATTTAATATTTTAAAAATTGCAGTAACTGTGACTTATTTGATTAGGATGTTTTGGAAATTATAAGATATTGTATGCAAAAACAAAATAGCCCTCTTCTGAGGTACTGCTTCTCAGGCACCTGACTTCCTGACCATTGAAATGTAAATAATAATAATAATGATAATAATAATAATAATAATAATAGTTTCAGTGGTTAAACACTGGGGGAAAAGGGAAGAAAAGACACCAAGCTGAAAAATAAGATTGGCGACTGCAGGAAAGGTTGTTACATAGTTTCTCTTAATATTCTGGATAATATTTTCCACCCAGATTTTGACCCTGTGGTCTAATAGACCTCGAATTCACTGCTTAGAAAACGGAGTGCTTCTTAAATTGTGCACTGTTGGAAAGAACTGGAAAACTCCAATGCTGAACCTTCTGAGAACAGGAGCCCACGGGTGCCTGCTGCTCCACGGGCACTTTTTACACTTTTCCTTTCCAAAAACCCAGCTAGGAATTACGTGTGGGTGAGTCATCAAAGCTGGGCACAGAAGCACAACCAAGGCGATCCAAAGTTGAAGATCAACATTGGTTTGAGACCTTGGGTTGAAAGACACTTGGATCC